AGAGCTGTGTGGTAAGAGAGTTCTGAAGCAGGACCAGGGATTAATCAGTCATTTCCCAACCGACAGTACAAGCAGACAGAGCCATATCACCCTGACCAGATACACTGGCAAAAATTCTTCCATCCCTCCCATTCCCTTCAAAAACATGCCAAACACACAGTTTACTAAAAATGATCCTTAGCATTCAAAGTATTGTTTGAATTAGTACATAATTCTCAGATATGGGTAGCCTTTTGGAACATAACACAAGGGAGTATATTTATTGCCTACACAAGTGCCACATTCAATGGTTTTCAAGTATCTTGTGTTTTAATCTTAATTAAGGACTTCATGCATCTGTCTTGGCTTTCTGAAAATTCCTCCCATGATGAGTACAGGTAGAACACTTCCCAGCACACGCCAGGGGAACACTTAATGGAAAATGCTGCTGCAATTCCAGCCCAGTCCTGCTTATAAGATTTGCCTGTACATATCTAACTTACTAAGTATACATAACATACTAAAATTTTATATAGTTTTTTAAATATTTTTAATAAATATATATATTTTTTAAAATAAAATCTACAGCAACATTTTTTTATCATCAGCCACTAGTTTTTACTTGCTTCCATATGGAATCGCACACACTGGCCATAACCCCACTGTAGTCCAACACTGGCTTTTTAAGAAATTAAAGCCAGGAACAACTACCAGATTTAGAGATGCAGCTTTTACCGTCACTCTCAGAGGCTGCTCCTTCATTCACAGGATCAGTGGAGCCATGCACAAGGTATGTCCTTCCATATGGAAGGACACATACCTGCCCCACAGACTTGCAATGAGCCTCGCTGTGTGGCATTATAGTGAAGATACCAAAATATCCTGACAAGTTACTTTAATTCTTTTAAAGCCTCAAACTAGACATTTCATTCATAGTAAGTGATAGTATTCATTAAAATAAATGTTTAACAGCCAGTTATTAGCAGAGTGGTCATACTTTAAACATTTAATTTGCTACCGATACAGTTTTGCATTAGCAAGCCTGGAAAACAATTACAAATTACACAATTCAATTTTCCAAATGGATTATTCCATAACTAGACAGAAAGACTGTTTAAATTACTTCTGCTGTTACAAGGCAAGATTAATACAATCAGATTAAAACTTAGATCCCCTTGCGGAATCAGTACATTCCTGTCAGCAGTATGCAATTAGTTGGTTTTGTATTGGAATAGTAAGGATTCTTCTGGCACATTGCAAAGTCAAAAGTCACTTAGAGAAATAATAATTTCTTCCTTCCTCCAATATTATTTTGTTAAAGCATATGGTAATTTGTGGTTGATTATTTATATTTACCAAGTGAAAACTAGACAGCTACCCGAAAGGCAACTCTCTGCGTAGATTTTGTAGCCTGGTTCCTAATTATTTTCTCTCCCCACCAAATGAATTAAGTGGGCAATTTGCTTTGTGTATGCAAATTTCCAGTTCACTTCATAAACTACAGGCGAGTATTCTCAGATGACCTGTATTTTAGGACACTTTAACCTTTCCATGTTTAAAAAAACAGAACAAGATTAGAAGGTATTTAAAGGTCAGTATTATAAAAAAAGAAAGTACTTATTTCTTTTGTTGTTTTAAACTTTGAGTGGCAATGACGACAAAATTCAGCCTCTGGTGCAGGGCTGCAGAACAGGACACATACATCACGCATTCAAATGCAAACAAATTGGTCCCCGCAATATGACAGAAGCCACCGAGACACCTCAGAAACATTGCTTGCGACCCAGACTTCACACGGATAAAGGAGAAACCTCGACTGGATGAAGGTGCCAAGGAGATATTGTACGGTCTCAGTCCACGGCAACTCAGCTTCAGTAACTGGTACCACCACGGTGCCAACAGAACAAATGCTCTGGACAGAATCTTTTGGCTAATAAATCGACATAACATTTGCACTTGAATTTATCACAGAAAAAAAAAGCAACAAAATGAAACAATTTAACACTTCAGTGAAGGAGGCAGGTGCTATTGAAAAATTAGCTCCATTCATCATTTTTCTTTTTCTACCCTTTACAGCTTTATCACTGATTAAACCTTTCCTAAGATTGATGGAGTGATCGGGGGCTCCTCAGTTTTCCAGATTTGATGCTGCTTTCAACAGCATTTGAGAATCACTTCAGAACCCAGGTAGGAAGTTAATGACCATATTTCTGAAGCACTGGTAACCTGTAAGTGAGGTTTGCCTCTCGCAGTATCATCTATCAGACTGAACTGCATTCGTCCTTAGATTCATTAGCAGAAGCTTATGACACAGTGACACTTGACATGTTAACAGGACTGACTGGGCTTCTCATTTGTAGGATTAACTTTATTGTCAGAGACAGCGAGAAGCAGCCTTCTGTCCAGGAGTGACAGAATTAGAATAGTCACAGAAAAGCCTCTACGCACCATCAAGCTGTTATTACAACAGCTGCTCTTGCCGACCAAATGTACATCAAGACAACAGCAATGACTACCCTAGACTTCTGGATGATGTCTTGAGTACCAAAGTCCCGTTAACATTATACATCAAAACCAGGTGATAAGTAGTGTTAATTGAAGACTCTGCCATATTAAGTTGTTTGTTGGGGGGGGGGGTTATTAATAATTAACTATGCTTTTTATAAGAATCAGTTCAACTATAGAGCAGTACAGAGCAGCAATAACATGTTCTCCTTTTTCAACACCTCATATTTAATACTGTTAGAAGCTGCATCATTCATCACCTTGGAATTTCACACATTTACAAAGCTTATTTAAAAAAGAAACTCATTTTTATCCACCTGCGCTCTGTGTAAGTTAACACATTTTAGCAGAAAATGCTATTTAATATTCATTAGCTTCCTTTCAGTAAGGTTCGTTAAAAATAAACAGGACCCGTCAAGTTGTGCAGCTGATGACTCTAGAATTAGAAGACAGCCTTACTTACCATCACAGTGAAAAAATGGGGACACTGCAGAGCCCCACTGCCAAATAGCAACACTGCGTGACAACCCACTGGCCCGAGCAATTACATTTAACCCGCTCTACTTGGTTAGCGCTGCTTCATTACAGAGTGGCAAAGAGGAGTGACGAAGGTGGAGAACAAATGCTGATGGCCATGTTGCTCCCACAAATGGCAGTGAGGTCGCTGCCCAGTCATCCAGCCTGTCTGCACCCCAGTGGCTCTCAGCAAGCCCATCCACTGTGTCCAGGCTGACATGCTGGTGGGAAGAGAGATCTCTCCGTTTTATACAGGAGGACTACAGGCTTTCTGGCAGAAACCTCAGCACTGCATCCCGTAATTTGGGTCTACATACCTGGGTGCTGAAGCAGGCAGATGTTTAGGGGAAGGGCTCAGAGCATTGGAGCTGGCAGTCTAGCTCAGCAGGTCCAAGACACCAAAAAAACCCATAGAAGCTCAGACTGATCATCTCAGATATACTCAGCGTAAGACTCAGACCCCAAGACACCACCCTCCAATTCTTGAAAAGGAGACTTAGGATATAATCTATCAGTTCACTCCAGCTGGAACCAGTGCTTTCAGGAGTGCACACTACATTCAAGTGACCTGCATGCAAGTTTGTTTTACTCCTCCAAAAGTGACCGATTGTGGAGTTTGACCATTGTTTATTCCTGTCAAATAAGCTACCAGAGAAATCCAAATACTAAATTTATAGAAGAAGCAACAGTTTAACATTAAGTAACAGTTAACTATAGACTAAGCTTGATTTAAAGCTGAAAACGCCTCAAAGCTAGTGGGACTTTCTATGGTGCGTTAGTCTGCAGATGCAGACGTAGCAAATTGCTGTTAGGTTACATATGTGACAAGTAAGTGCTAACCTACAGATTTTCTTGAAAGAAGAGAAAAAAATCCAGCCTCATTTAGATTCCTCATGGATTTCATACCCATTACCTAATCTGAACTTCAAGCCAGTGTGTGCTGCTGATATATTGCATTAATACAATGAAAGAAATACAGATTTGCATTAATAATTGACAGAGCCATAGTAATATAAGCGCAACATTTCACACAAAGCTGGAAATTGTCTTATACACGCTGTGCAACACTCACACACGTCAAATAAAAAAAATGCACTTCTCATTACTTTTGAAAGTTGCTTAATATAAATTTGAATGAACTATTTCTGGGCATGACTTACTACAAATAGCCACAGGTTTTACAACCAATCAATTACAAATTACGTGGCATGTAGACAGACAAGTCTGAATTCAGATTCGGCATTTCCCCAAGATTTCCTCCTAAATGTATGTCAAAGTGAGTAAGCGCAGATCAGCCTCAAGCTGAGCTGTGCTCGCCAACTCCTAGGAATTTATGCACATAATTCTTAATTTTCTAATATATTAAGCTTTTGCCACCAATGATTATAAATTAAAGGGTTTCTTATTTTCATCTCCATGCCCAGGAGAATTACACATGTAAATTCTCAGATGAATATGAAATGTGCACATAACTCCAGAGAAGTGATTAGAGGGAAAAACTTCATTCTTTTAATACTGGTGAATTTAGCAAAGGTTTTCACATCATCATTGCAAGAAAAATTTGCATGTTGCCCTTCATTTCTGTAGCTGTCTAATATCTTCACACAGATGCAAAATCCTAGTAAAATGGGAACCTCTAAGTATCCAGCTTTTTGAATTCACACGTTAACTTGGACGGTTGTTAGTGTAATTATGAAGAGTAGTAGTCATTGCAACGTATTTCAGATCTGATTTTAAAGGGCTGAGGAGAGAAAAGGACATCTTCTCTAAAAATAAAGTCATCTTCCATTAGCTTAGCAAGATGTTTGCTGCGAAGCAGAAAACAGAAACTTACTCTGCCTCTACTTCACTGAATGAAGGAACATAAAAGTGGGTTTAGGACCTTGATAGTAAAAAAAGTTCCAATTTTCAGGCCAATTAATATATGTCAACTTCAGATTTTATTCTTGATTGTACATTTTAAAAAAAGTTTAAGAAACAACCGCATTACCAAGTCTTACCTTGTGATAGCATCTAAAGTAAGCAGCTCGTTCATCTGAGAATTTCTCCAGCCTCTTTGGCCCTTTGCTTGAAGCTTTTTTGAATACTAACCAGCATCTCTGGTAAATCTAGAAACACAAGAGAGTAAACTTGGCATCTCCAATGACTTGAATATCACTAATATTTGCATAGAAGTTAAACGCATAAATCAGCTGTTGCTCTGGAGCTACAACTAATGACTCTCAGTAGCTTACACAAAACATAAAATCAAGCTAATGGATAGTTCCATCCTATTTCTTTTGAATTACGATACAATCAGAAATTCTTAGGAAGACGGTGCATGCTTGCATGAAAGGTGCTAGGAAGAAAGAGCTGTAATTATGCTTGCAAATGCAGGGCTTTCTAGGAAACAGCTTTTTAAAAATAAAGTGACACACTTTTCCATGTGGATTTGTTACTGGTTCCGGTCTTGCATGCTTAAGACAGACAGGTAGGAATGGACCTTCCATCACACAAGTATGAGAGATAAAACTGTAAGTGTATATTCTATGCATAAGGGTAAATAAGGATACATAAGGGAGAAGGAACTGAATTACTGGGTAACAAAAAAGACAGACCATTTAACTGTAGAACCCAGGACCATTCTGACAACTGGCATTTTGCTTTCAAGGTCCAGTTGAATTTAAATTCAAGTCACTTGGGGCAGACTCTGTGCAGAGTGGTTGAAAAAACACTTTTCCATCTACAGCATTAAGCCACTTCATCTCTCAAGCTTCTGCCACCATTCTTGCAATCTTCCCACCTATCCTTCAACTGTGGTGCACTTTCTACCATCCTCTTACATTCAAAACCACAGCTCTCAGCTTAGATAACATACTGGCTGTATAGAAGGAAAGAATTGTAAGCCTTGCCAACTGCTCACAGCCTACATTTAATCAGTAATTCCAAAGTAACACCTTGTAAGTTAGAAATAAAACAAAACCGCCACTAAAATTAGTGTGATTTCAAAGAAAAAAGTCTGATCAGCCTACTATCAAGTAGTTCACAGCTCTGACAGAGCTCCAACGCAGCGCAAATTCACTAGAGTGATCAGCGGTGAGAGCCATCAAAACAACTCACTGCCTCCAGCTAAGCCAGCACCCAACAGGTAACCAGCAGACAAGGCAGCTCCATCCTTTGAACCCTTGATAGGTTTCTAACCAATGTAGTCAGCACAAAAGAGTTATGCCCATGAAAAGCATCTATAACTTTATTTCTGTGCACAAAAATGATTGTTAGTTGACTAGCTGTGCTTCTTTCACTGGCTTTTAGCTGTTTCTATAAAGATGTTCTGGGAACCTTATTATTCCCCCCAGCTTTATTATTCTGCCTCACATGTGGGCACTCATACTCCTGGCCCACTTGGCTGCAGAAGCATTTAGCATATGGACAGGCTGCTCTGATGCCAGGCACCAGCTGAACCTATCAAGATTTTCTTCCAATTTTACAGCTTATTGGCCACTCAACCTGTTCTGTTTCATGCAAGGGTTTGAATTGAATTGTTCAAGAATTACTGGACACTGACCAAAATGAGAGCTTACCACCAAAAAAGCAATTCAGATATGCACCCACTTCCACTGGAAGACACTTCCTACATTTGCCTTCTGAGAATCTTGATTGCTGGGCCCAGATAACCTCATCACACTTGACAAGAAAAACTCTCCAAAACCCCACCCAAAAGAGACTGTCAAAAGTTTGAGTATTCAGCCCTTTTGCTCTTCAAAAACCTATAGTTTTAACTTTAGCAATTAGAAGCCCATAGAAGAGAACAGAATCCTTTAGTAATGTATTTGCCATTATACAACACACATGAGGACAACTACAACATGATGAGGTCCTACTCAGACCATTTGCACTCAGGAGCACCTCTCTGGGTCAGCAAGCATCTCAAAGCTGTGGCTGCAACAGTGAGCTCAGCAGCACACAGAATCAGGGGCAGAACAGGAAAGTAACATTCTAATACAAATAAGCAAATAAAGTTTTGCTCTGCCTCCAGCTGGGCACAGATCCAGGATGGTCATCGCCCTTCCAAATGCCGCTAGGAGCATAAGTACTATTAACAATCAACTCCAGTCAAGCATGGTAGATGGCTATAAGCTGGTGCTACTGGAATTCATTACTGCAGTTCAACAATGACTAATCCAAGACTAATTCTTAGATTTAGATCAGAATCCGGGCGCAGCTGGGGGAAAAAAAAACCAAACCAAAACAAACTTGTTACATATAAGTATCTCCAAGGATGCAAAAGCCAAATCAGCCTACAATATAAATACTGGTCTTTGAGTTTTGGTTCCGACCCCCTATTACAACAATTCTCTAATTTTGTTAGAGTCCCAGGGTTGGAATACATTATGCCAGTGCCCCAGGACAACATCATCACGACCCAAATAACTACACCTATAAAGAATAAATGGCATTCATGATGCTAACTTGAGCAAACCGGAGGAAAGTCAGGTCATGAAGGTCCCTCCCCTGAACTTCTTCCTCCTTCTGTATGAGCTAGTCAGCTCTCTCCTCTTAGGGAATCTCTAGGCAGAGAGATTCTACTGCAATAGTAGTTTAAAGTAGAATGAAGTATTTTGTTTTGATTAGAGACAATGAACAATTTTTTGCCAGCATATACAGTTCGGAATCCCATTAATGTTAGTGACCTGACGGTTAACTCCTCTCTGCTGAGCTTATATAAACAAACTCAAAAAGAAGATACATCCCCTCACTTGAAACCTGCTTAGCACCTTAAAAAATGAGATAATGGAGCCATCAACAATGGGTACGATTATCACAGTCACATTTTTATGCTCCCATGACACATACATCTCACAGGTGAACATCCAGCACCACCTTAACTGAGCATAAACTACATGGTACCCTAAACCTCTAGCAATAAAGCAATAAAAAAAGGGGGTTGGACTGTATGACCTTGAAAGGTCCTTCCAACCCAAACCATTCTACAATTCTATGAATAACCAATTTGGCAGCATCTGCCTAGGAGCACTGAAAGCCCTTCAACACAGTCAACACACAGAAGAGATGATGTGGTGCCCAGGACAGAGAGCTAATCATAGACCCTGTTATGAGCTACAATACAGAGCAAGTAATTAGGTCTTTGATGCCATCATGACCTAGTACATGTCTGAGACCTGTCAGTATTTCTTCAGGTTGAAGACGGCACGTGAACTGTTTACGTTGTTATAGCTGTTTTGACAGCAGGAACAAGAACCAGCCCCAAACGTTCTTAGGTGCCTATTCCGTCATGAATACTTAGCTCACTTATCCCTCAAATCAACATTTTTACTACTTCTCCATGAATAGGAATTAGTTGAAAGTACTGCTGTAATTACTTCCACTCCAAACACTTGGGCTAACAGTGATTAGATAATCCAAACAGCAAATCAGGATCTGATGTGCTGAGAGAGAACAGTAATAGCTGTCATTTGCATAACACCTAAAACTTACAAAGCTCTCCCTGAGAGATCTGCCAAGAAAGCCTAACTCAAAATTTAATTCAAGTATCAAAAATTAGCATCCACTTCCTGTGGTCTCTCCTGAAAATTTCAGCTTTTAACAGCCCATCAAGCAGGTAACAACGTAAAACTCGAGGGAAATAATGCAACTGTTTATGAAGTGGATCATCCAAAACCCAGATAGGTGATCCGATATGCATGTCCAAGGTCACGTCAAAACAGTTCTATTTTTGCTCTAAAGATCAGCTCATATAAATCATTTCCACAACTGAAGTCAAAGAAGGAGCGACTTCAAAGGAACGATGCAATCTGAGTATCTGGATTCCTGCTCTCAGTGCTGTGCCTTAGGAACCAGGCAGGATTGCTCAGCCATCCCCATGCTCCTTCTGATGCTGGAAATACACTGTGAAGCAAAGGAGTTATTAACCTCAGTTGGAACTGGCCAGCATCTGGCTGAGTAAAGTGGAAAAATTTCTTTTGACTTTCCTGGGTTTCATGGTTCAGTTGTGGTTTGAGAATACTCTCATGCAGAGAGGGAAACTGAAACCGGAGGCTTGCTGTCCTACGTGATGACCCAAACCCCCGGACCGTCCTGGAAATGGGTGTGGGGAGGCAGACCTGTCAGTCTGCACCACCTCCCAGCTGATCAGAAAAGCAAGATAACGAAGAGCTACATTTCTGAGTGCCTAAAATGTCAGTCTTTATACATGAAGCACAAACTATTCCGCACAAGAATCAAACATTTCAATTTAGAAACTGAAATTTGCGTTTCAGTCCAAAGCAAGTTCACCCCACCCCTCAATACCTTTGTTCAGCAACTGATCTAAAACAGCATCTGGAAATAGACAAATATTTAGAAATTGGAGCGGGGAGGCTATTTTTCATATCTTGGGGCAGGGGGTTTTAAACTGGCTATTTTTTAAAACTCGTATATGTGGCTTCCACTACACTCTGGCAAAGCAAGCCTGTTTTACTTCAGGACCAATCAATCCCACCCCTTATTTGTTTGTTATTTAAGAGGGACATAGAGGTCAGAGACAGTAGCACAAAGTCTCATCTGGCAAATTTCTCCTTTGCGAACAAGTGAACCTTAAGGGAAAGCTGCCCGATTTTATTCCTGCGTTACATTTTTCTGCTCTTTGCCCTAAAACAAAGAATTCCAATGAGCGGCATTTGCAGGGACACTGAACTTGCTGTCAAATAAACACAAACTTTGCTTTTTTAAAAGCAGTAGCTGAAAGTACTGTCTTGCAGCTTGGGGTGATTACCAGAAAGCCTGGGCTATTGCCAGGAACTTGCCTTTTGTGACTGATAACCTCTAGAAACAGATAATCTAGTAAAGGCACAGCACAATAGCACAAGAAATTTCTCACAGTATGTTCTGAACTTTTTTTTTTTGGTAGGAAAAAAAATACTGCCACTTTATCCAAGGCTGGTAGGTAGCTGACCCACTGAAGTACCTCAGTTGCATATGGAAAATTATTTGAGCGTTTTTGCTGAACTTTGCCAGGGAGTCTCCAGCGGACTGGAGTTCCAGGTACAAGGTCTCTTCCGACAGGGAGCTGCTCACACAGGAAATTAGCCAGCTCACGCTAAGTATTTGGATCTTAATTCTTCTATTTAAA